CCCTAAACCCTAAGCCCTGCCCCTAAGCCCTAAACCCTAAACCCTAATCCCTAACCCTAAGCCCTAAACCCTAAACCCTAAGCCCTAAACCCTAAACCGAACCTCTCGGCCAGGAAGGCAGCTCAGCCTGGCCTATCAGATCATCCCCTTTGGCGCCGTGATTGGGAAGGCCTGGTTGGGCTTAGGGTTTAGGGCTTAGGGCTTAGGGTTTAGATTGTTCCAAACTATTAGGATTGAGATTTGGAGTTGATATCTTTGGGTCCCAGTATGTTACGAGTCCCTAGATGTCCCCCCTTTTGGGAACAGCATTTCAGGCATTTTATGGCTTCTGGGGGTTTGAGCTATAAGTATACTTACAAAGTCCCTTGACCCTAAATCCCATACTGCTGTTGGAACATTGTAAGACAATGGGAGATCCTTTTTCTTTTCCATTAGTCCTAAACCCTAACCCATGAATGGTAGTACGCCCATTTGCCCCTAGATCCCCTTATATGACTTATATAACTTATATAAGCCCTATACGAGCGACGAACTAAAAAGTTCCGTCTCCTTAAACATGTTTAACGTTGGTCAGAAGTCGTGAAATTATGCGCTTAGTCTGTATAGCGAGATGGTCTCCACCAAATAACGAGATCAGCATTGTTGTGATTGAACGCAAGGATGTTGAACAACGAGATTCAATGCTGGACTCAAGTGTCGTAAAATGCGATAGGAGTGATTTAGTCAGTTGGCCTCAAGCCTAGTAGGAACGAGATGGCCCCCCCCAACATGCTCCCGAGTATGTAAAACGAGATGGAACGAGATTCCAGCACGAGTATGGGACTTTTTGACCATAGGGCAGACAATGCCCATATAAGCCCTGTATAACCCCTTACCCTGCTGCCATTTCATTTTCCATATTCTTGTCCATTTGATTCTCCAGTATTACGGAGTAGGAGTAGTACTAGGTCCTAAACCATAGATACTAGTTTCTTATGGGTATTTATGGCAGTTTGTCAGTGGAGACGAGGCGCGATAACACACCAAAGTAGTTTCCATTTTCTTTTCCATTCCTCACGAAGTCCCCTGACTGACCCTACAAAATCCCTTGTAACCCTACACAATCCCTTTTTAATCCCTTTTCATCCCTTTTCATCCCGATACTGAGTCCCCCTGACTGCAGGCCTGCGAGCGGTTCAATAATCCTCCGTTGGTCTACTGGGGAACTGAACTGAAGTGAGGCACTGAGTGGAGGATCAGAGACATGGATAATCATCCCTATATCAACTTATATAATCCCTCTACTCATGAGAGTTTCCATTTTCTTGTCCATTATCCAAATAGAACCCCAATACAATCCTAATATCACCCCGCAGATGCAGTCCATGAGACTGCTGCTTTGCAATGAGCTTGTCCGCATTGTTGCCATAGGCCGTCTGAAGGGGTTGCGTAGGACATTATATTGAATGCATGTCTTTCTGTTCCATTATTTTTGCCATACCAGTATCATAGTTCCCTGGTGATTGTATTGAAATCTGCTTGCAGTCGGAGTTTTCACAAGATCAATCCGTGTATTTTGCAGAGCAAGGCGTTGTGCTTCAGCTTCTGCAAGGGATTGTCATCATTCTGGGCTTCAGGTCTTTTGTTAAGGACGGTAGAAGTTACATGGAGGTTCATGAGGAGTTATGGCTGGAGCTGAAAGTAGGATGACTATCGATATGCTAGGTTACAGCCCTCTCTCCTGACCTAACCACCCATGCACTTCTCAAGTACCATGACAGTGTTTCCATTTTCTTTTCCATTATCCCTATATAACCCCTTTAGAACCTCTATATATAGTATGGTAGTTTCCATTTTCTTGTCCATGTATCCCTATTTAACCCCTACATAACTCCTATATATTATAGTAGTTTCCATTTTATTTTCCATTATCCCAAGTACAATGAGAGACTGGGTGTCCGAGGTGCCTGAGAGCGCAGCCCCACGTGGAAAAGGTAAAGACCTTGCAGGGCCGGAAGATGACAGCCGGGCAGGCACCATACAAAGGGATCCTTTCAAATTCGTGGCATGCTTTCGTACTGAATTCGAGTCTGCGCCAAATTCCCAACTTGGAATTTCAATCACGCAACATCCCCAAAGAGACGGATGCCTGATGATTTCGTGTGTGTCTGAGAACTCAAATTGCTGAAGTCCTTTCTCAAGATTTGGTAAAGATTATGTTGAAACTTTTTCGCTCGGCTTGCGCTTCACTTGACGGTCTTGTTGAACGAAGGGATTGGACAGTACCATTGCTGTTGGCCGATGGTAGGAGCAACTCTTGATGAAGGTGTTGATTTGCGATGGCTGTCGCCCATGAAAATCAGAAAGAGCCGTTGCTGTATCCCCTAAACCCTAAACCCTAAACCCATACATCAATGGGTTTGTACATCGAGTTGACGGACTGATATATGGGGTTTTCAAAATGTGACGCTCCCCTCAAAAGGCCCCAGATACAATCTTATCAGTATCGCAACAAACCTCCCAAAAAGAGATCCCGATTTAAACTTGCAGTAGCTTCCCTTTGTGAGTTTTTCCGAATTATCCGGTAGACTCCCAAATGAGTATCCGTATCGTCATATAGCTATACTCACCCTGGGCTTCCAGGATGCTTCAATTTTCGAAAAAATCTCTAAACTCAGCACCGTACAGTAAACCCTTAAACCAAGCACCATAAACCCAACACCCTAAACCCAAAAGCCGGCACGGTAAACCCAACATCCTAAACCCTAAACCCTGCAAACCGTGAACCCTATAAATGGTTGTGCGCTGTGCGTTCTGAGCCACCCCCCTCCCTGTATGGTCCCCTGACCAGCAAAGTGCGAACAGTCACAGGGTGGGTGTCAAGCTCGCGATCCTCGTAACTCTACTCGTTTTTGAATCCATTCTCGTAGCTGTCATCGTTTTTGATGTCGCAGGTCTCAACAGTCACAGGGATGGTGGGCATCCAGGTCACAATCCTCTTAACTGTCATCGTCTTTCAGGACGTACGGCCAAGAGGCTTGGAGCCACTGATCGATTAACCACCTGCAAAGCAAACCCAGAAGAGGGGAACATCATAAAGCAACAAGCCCAAACCAGGCTTGATTGTCATCAAGTCACGAAACAGCACCACTGCGGACCACAGACACCATCACCCCACGGGACCACAGGGAGAGAGGAGGAAACTCGAAAAAACATGCGGTCATCATGCTGTCATCGATTAACCACCTGCATGACAAACCCACAGGAGGGCGAATTTCATAACCAGCAAGCACACTTAACAGAACCCCAGAGCACCACAGGTGCCAACACCCCACAGGACCACAGCGGGGGAGACGGGGAAACGAGATGCCCGTTCATGCTTGCAGCCACTGATCGAGTGACGTCCTGCAAACCAAACCCACAGGAGCGGCAAATCATCAACCAGGAAGCCAAAACATCTTTGATTGTCACCGAAACAAAATGCTAGAGAACCACAAGTGCCAGCGCCTCACAGGACCACAGGGGAAGAGAGGGGGAAAACAAAAAAGAAGATGCATTCAAGCTTGTTGTGTGCATTGGTGGGGGTGATTGGGGAGGAGGGGTAGGAGGGCCGCCGGGGCGCAACCACACCCCCCTATAACTCTATGTAGCTCTTTATAACCACCATAAGCCCTTTTAACGAGTACCCAACTTTCCGAAACCTCCAAAGAGCATCCCATGCTCATCCTTTAGGCTGCCAAGTTTCGTGTGCAGCTGCAGATGGCCTTCCTCAAGGTTAGCCTTTTGGGGTATTAGGGGTTAGGGGTTCAGGGATTTGGGGGTTTGGGGTTTAGGGTGTAGGGCTTAAGGGTTTAGGGGTGTAGGGTTTAGGTTTACGGTTTAGGGGTGTAGGCTTTAGGGTTAGGGGTTTGTTGGGGATTAGGGTGTAGGGTCTAGGAGTTAGGGTGTTGGGATTTAGAGGTTCATGAACGTTTGGGTTTGAGAGTGTAGAGGTTCAGGTTTCAGGATGTAGGTTCAACAACTCTTATTGCTATTTTTTTCTTAGCTAGTCGGGTGCTTGCAATTGCGGGTACCTCTTGGCCAGCAGTTTCAGACATTATTCAACCACCTGTTGCGTTGACACCATCAGGAATCCATTGGTTGTGTTGGCAATTTCCTCTTGCTCGTTCATTATGTATTATCAGTGGGAGTTGCTCTTTTGACGGAACCTTTGGAAGCCGGCTCTGAGAACACCTTATCTTGCCCCGCTATGATTTGTACTCCGTCCATCGTGTTCAGCACTAAAGCCTTGAACCACTGGCTTCTGACACCCGCAGTTATGCGGACGAGGATTATGAAGCTTCATTTTCCTTGGAGGACCTGGGCTTGCCCGTGCTGATGCGGGTCTTCTCCGTGACCATGCGCCTTGACATGACAGAGCAAACTGGAGTCTATGTGGGGTTTGATGATTATCTATTGGATCCTCACTCTAAAGTGGGGGGATGCTACAGAGGCAGAGGGTAGTCGTAAAGATCTTCCACGTGTTTTGTATTGTATAGTGCACAGTTTTATTCTTCTTGAGGGTGTATGGAGAAGGTGTTGGTTGGTACGATGGTGTTTTAAGATCCGAATCCTGGTCGTTGGCAATCAGAGTTTTTGACTGTCTTGAAGGTATGTCACCATGGTCTACTTCACTGCGGTGATGACCAAAGAGAACGCCAGTGCCCCAATGCTTTGCACAGTTTTCTGCTTCCCATTGAGCCGTCGTTGGAGAATACCCTTGACCTCTGCATAAGGTCGTGGAACTTGGTGTGGAGATGTTCCAGATCCTCACATACATCGCGTTTTCGAAGGCAAGTTACCAGCTGGCGTCAGCTGTGGCAGTCTGCTGAGCAGATGAATATTATAGTATATCTTATAGAATATCATAGTCTGTTTTCGTATATATTATAGTATAGTATAGTATAGTATAGTGTAGTATAGTATAGTATAGTATAGTATAGTATATAGTATATTATAGTAGATATTTGAGTGCGAGGCTATGTGCGAAGTCTTCCTGCCCATTGTGTGCCAGAAGCTTAGGGGCGCGGTCCAGAAGATGGGGCTAACAAATTCGAGCGAATCACAAAACAACTCAACTGAAATTCCACAGAAGCTCCTTGGGAAAACCTTACTGGTGATCAGCAGGCAAAAGAGCAATATGTTTTTGCCATGCCTACATACTTTCCAATTATATGACCGTTTCCCTTTTTTGGTCCCTTCATTCCTTGAGGAGTGAATCATCCATACTTTACTGTAGTAGTATTTACACTTATTTTTCCAGTCCCTACAATGGACCAGTAAGAAACTGTTAGAGCTCTCCATCTCAGGCGTGGGCATCGTGGGTGCTTTGGTGGTAGCCGTGTGGGAGCTCAGGAAGAGATTGTCAGGGTTCTGTTTAGAGCCTAGGGTTGAACGATCAGGGCTTAGGGATTTAGGTTTACAGAGCCGAATGTTGCCCTTTGTAACCCTTGTGTATCCGTATATAACCACATGGATCCCCTTAGTTGGAAGATCTCCAGAATTAGAACCAGTCATCTGACAAACATTGCACTCTGCATACCATGCGGTACGCATACTTAGAAGCCACTTCTTTTTTTGGTGTCCCCATTATTATAGTAGTTTCCATGTGTTTTCCATCATTACCAGTATTCCCTATGAGCCCCCCCCTCAATTTGAAGATCCCACGCAACACTCCGGGAGAGGTAGCAAAACGACTTTTGGTAAAACAGTAATAGGGATCAAACACAGTTTGTACAAGGATGGAAAAGTCTGTGCCAAGACTACCATTTGGAGAGGTCTGCAAAGACTGCAGATACTCCTCCGAAGACAGAAGTGAAGGAAGAAAGCAAGAATCAAGTGAGTAAGTGGGAGCGCAGAAGCCCACGGCAGGAAAGAAAGGGAACTGAGACGATACCAGAGCAGAAAGAACGAACAGAATGGAAGAAATGACAGAGAAGAGTTAGGTCAGACGAAGGAACAGAGGGATTGTGATTGTAAGTCACGTTCTGAGTCCTGCTTGGGGGCCCTGCAGCTAGTACTATTTTTCCTGTTATCATTCTTACTACAAGCATATTTACCCTTACTAGCACATTTGCAGTTCTTCCTATTGCTACTCTTATTGTTATCATCGATAGTAGTAGTACAATGATTTTTAAGTCGCTACTGGTGCTGTTTAGCGTCTTGGCTACGACTCGTACTGTTACCAGTCATTTGACACAATTCCGTTGATTACGGTTTCTGTTCATTGTTCTTCTTTTATTCTTTTTCGTCTTCTTAGAAATGCGCTTGGCAGTATTATTCTCGCCCTCATCTATTTAGCATTGTTTTTGCCACGATTCCTGCTATCACCAGTATTCCTGTTGTTATTCGTGTGTGTTTTGCATTGCTACTCATACTACTGCTGCTGCTGCTGCTGCTATGTGCTGCTACTGGTTCTGCTACTGCTGCTGCTACTACCGCTACTACTACTCCACTACTACTACTTCTTCTTCTCCTACTCCTACTACTACTACTACTACGACGACTACTACTACTACTACTACGACTACTACTACTACTACTACTAGTACTGCTGTACTGCTAGTACTGCTACTGCTACTGCTACTGCTACTATTTCTTCTACTACTACTGATTCCACTATTACCCTCTAGTGCGACTATGACTGCGACTGCGACGACGACTACGGCGACTAGCTTCATTCTTGCTAGTATGAAAGTCATTACTTTTGCTATTACCAACCTTTTTTTGTTTGTTAGTCTTACGTCTTTATTGGCACTACTTTTGTTTCCCTTGCGGTTATCACTGTTCTTGTTATTGGTATCAAGATTCCTGTTGCTACTACTGACTAAAACATGTTCTCATCTTCATCCATGTCTTGCAAGTAGGGGGGTGCGCTGCACGAACCCCACGCTGTTTCTGAAAGACACATACAACGCCCACCAAATCCCGTCCACAGAAAGCGAGATGCTACGTTCGCTGATTTTTTTTCGCGTTTTGGTACTGGCGGGCGGGCTGCACCCCCCAACCTGCCCACTCTTTTTAAGAACCATTTAATTCAACAGCGATCTGAAGCGAGACAGTCGCTACAAAGGGCGACAGTTTTGCGATTTGCCATGAGCACGTGCAAAAAACAAACAGACTTCTGCATTTTGCGACAACGACCTGGCCAAAGTGACGACAGTTCTGCATTTCGCGAAACGAGCCTCCAAAAGCGAGGACTGCCCTGCAGTTCGTGACCGCACGCACTACAGAAGTTTTAGTTTGCAGCATTTGAATCCCTGCTGAATCTGCTTGATCACTTCATGACTGTCATTTTTGATGCCGATTTTCAACGTTTTTGATCCCAGTTTTCTTGTTGATCCCCCTCATGTAGTGACTTGTCTTTGAACTGAGGTGTCTTTCGTATAGACAGAATTCGGAGTTCACCGTGTAGTCTTTTTGTAACCTTCAATACACATAACTTCCCAGTTGTTTTTTTTCACAATCCCTGCGACCTGCTGATCATTTTCCCCATCCTAGAGGTTCGTGAGGAACCACAGGTATATGCTCTCAAGATCCCTGAGCAAGTAGGGTTGGCCCATCGACGCAAAACTAATGGAAATCAACATTCGATCCTGCAGTTTGCATCTTCCCTTGTGGTAGAAAATCTTGCGCCCCTGTACCGAGTCGGCAGTCGCTGCCAAGAAGGCAGTGAAGGCCCGCTGCAGCTGCTCTAGGTCAAGGTTTTAGGGTCTCTGTACTTGCTGCCATAGCAGGAAGCCCACATACTGTTGATGGAGGAGATCTTGCACCACCTTAGGTCCTTAAAGTCCTAGGAATTACAGTAGTTTAGGGCCCCTAGGTGGTGCAAGATTTCATCCATCAACAGTAGTTCGTTGTTTCTTCAATGAGCCTCCTTGTTGTCCATGTGTCTCCCCACGCCCAATCAAGCCGGGGCTTCTTGAATGACATCATGACAGTGAGGATTGGCTTTAGGGTTCAGGTTTAGAGTTTTGTGGGCAGAAGTGCGATTTGTGCTGATGATTCGCAGGGCTCTCGTTCTTGTCTATGTTGGGCACCGTGGTTCACATGAGTGCTGTTCAATTTGCTAGTCACATTCTAAGCAGGATAGTGAGCACCATCGATCTTAATGAACAGGTGGCAGTCCAACCTTACCGGCTCTCGCCAGTTGTGGGACAGCTGGCACCTCAGTGCATGTGACCTGGGTTCCGCGGGAGTTACCACCCCTTGCAGGTGCTATGTCTAAGTACTTGAGCTCCCGACCCTGGCAGTTAGATTGCCCAAGCAACGCCCAAAATATTCCGAACCAGAATCCCCTTGCGGCGCAGTCCTTCAACTCAGGGTGCTACATGGGGTGTCTGCTGGCTTCGCGTTTGCCCTCTTCCTTTTCCAGGACACTCTTCGGTGCATATGTGCAAGAGCTTCCAGCAGGTGCAGTATTCAGCCTAAATCCGAGCCGTGCGCGCAAGGAACCAGGGGTGGACTTCACGCTCGGCCTGGCCTTGTACTCATTTGCTGCATGTTTGGCAAACACTGTAACACTGACTGGAGAGAGATACAGGTGAACCAACCTTGAACCTTAGCTTGAGACGCGAGAACCACGGTACCTTCAACTCTTGAACCCCTATCCTGAGCTATAAGCCATAAACCCTATATACGCCCATGTAATCCTACATTATATGACCCTTCTGTATTTTCACATAAAAAAATGTATATGTATCCCTGCATAACCCATTCGTATGCCTATATAACACCCCTATAAACCATTAGATTATATAGACCTTTTTCTCTATATAAGCCCTATATCATCCTAAACCCTAAACCCTAAACCCCTAAACCCCTAAACCCCTAAAACCCTAAAACCCTAAAACTCGGAACCCCAAACCCTAAATCCCTAAAACCCTAAAACCCTTAACCCCTAAACCCTCAACCCCCTAAAGCCTAAGCCCCTGCTTCAGTGTGCCTTCCTGGGATGGTTGGTTGGCGCTTCGTTGGCGGCCTGGGCCTCGAAAAGGGCTGCAAGCAGGGTTGAGGGGTTTAGGGGTTTAGGGTTTCAGGGTGTCAGGGATTTAGGGTTTCAGGGGTTTAGGGTTTTAGGGGTGTCGGAGTTTGGGGATGAGGGGTTTAGGGTTTAGAGGTTTAGAGGTTTAGGGGTTTAGGGTTTTAGGGGTGTAGGGGTTTGGGGTTTAGGGTTTAGGGTTTAGGGGTTAAGGGTTTTAGGATTTGGGGTTTTAGGGGTTTAGGGGTTAGGGGTTTTAGGGATTTAGGGTTTCAGGGGTTTAGGGTTTTTGGGGTTTAGGGTTAAGGGTTTTAGGGGTTTAGGGTTTTGGGGGTTTAGGGTTTCAGGGGTTGAGGGTTTTAGGGTTAAGGGTTTTAGGTGTTTAGGGTTTCAAGGGTTTAGGGTTTCGGGGTTTTAGGGGTTTAGGGTTAGGGATGTTAGGGTTCAGGGTTTAGGGGTTTAGGGTTTCAGGCGTTTAGGGTTTTTGGGGTTTAGGGTTAAGGGTTTAGGGGTTTTAGGGTTTAGGGTTTTGGGGTTAAGGGTTTAGGGGTGTAGGGTTTTGGGGTTTTGGGGTTTGGGTTTAGGGGCTTTAGGATTT